TTCAGTCACTGTGGTCAGAAGTTCTTTTTTTGTCATTCTCCTCTAATCAAATGTTTTACTTCACAGAGGCAAATTACATTCCTAGCTTTTATTTACTCGGGTACTGCTGTGACCCAGCTATCAGCTCTGACACTCTTCCATCAGGTTCAAAGTGCTCGTGGCCAAATAACATGAGAGGTGATTCGTCTTTCAAATACATCAAACAGCTTGCAATTGCCTGGCTGCATTTCACCACAGAATGGTCGGCTTAAAGGTCCGATATTCAGAAAAAAAATCGGATTCCTCCAAGTGACATTTATAATACATTCACAAATGTCCCACACTGGGGACATACGTAGGCTCTTCTCTTTTTGAGTTTCATTGCACAGGGAAAGGTATGGAAGTCATTCGTTGGTAGGCAGCAACTGTATAAAACAGCAGACATGTTCCAGTTAGATCCAACCACCTCTCCTGCTACCACATAATCAGGATGATGGAACAACCTCCTTTAGCTCCCAGACATGGTGAAACTGTGATCTGACACCATGATCAACAGCACAGTGCGTTGAAAACACACAGGCTACAAGCTGGCCAAAATTCCCTCAAATCTCATTTTATTAAGAAGCAGTTTTTCTATAAAAAAAGTAAAACAATAAATTCGAGTAATTGTTTTTTCCCAAGAAAAACTTATTTTAAGAGAGAAAAATTAATTACTAAAAAATTTGAGAAGGAAAGGATGACTGTCAAAATTTGCTTGAGTGCTAGAAAGAAAACTCAGTCCATCCCCTTCCTACTGCCATGGTGGGAGCACGATGCAATTCACTGGGAGGCCCCAGCCCAGCAGACTGGGCTCATAACCACTGTTACGCTCCCCAAAACCCAAGGTCCCTCTCCTCTTTCTGTCCCAAGTGCTCCTTCCACAACAAGAGGACAAAACCCGATACAGAAAGACATGGAGAGATATCTTTGTTCCAGCTGTTCAGTGGACGAATAAACTAGGGCAGTTAATTAGTGCTTGCAGCTGGCACTAATTTAACTGTTATTTGGAGATACAGACCATAAAAACCAGCCTAAGTCTCCATCCCAAAAATCAAACAAGTGTAAGGGTTGAGATATGATTTCCAAAGGATGCAAGTCAGAGAGGCAATGGCTCAGCATTTCTTCTTAAACTTTTGCAAGTGGGGAAAAAAAAAAAGAAAAAAAAAAAAAGAGAGTCCAGCACTAATCCTCTTTTTTATCAGAAGCCAGTGCAGACCATATGTGCTCCAACTTTCTGGACTCAAGACAGCCACCTGGCACCAAAGCACTGCACCCAATTAGTGTGATGGATTGATTTCTCCAAGAGGCCAAATTAATGCAAAGCATTAGTGTTATCCAGCTTGTATCAGCATCTCACAGTTCGCAGAGCAGGTGACACCAGCCTGGCACCGCTATGAAGATACAGGGAAAATGTGCATCCCTAATGCTGGCCGGCTGGTCAAGCGCACAGCCAGGATTTGAGGAAACCTCGGGTGACTGCCATGAGACCTCAGCTTAGGTAGGAAACTTCGCTCAGCCCCTGATGTCTACAACCTTGACTGCTAATACCTGCTAATACACCTTTTCATTAACCAGTTGCTTTTTGCCCAGTAAATCCCATGTCTTACATCGCACCTCAACATCTTGCCAAAAAGGACCTATTTTCCTTCTCCCATTTATGCACGGACAATATCTTCCTTTGCCTCTCAGCATTATTATCGGCAACCTTAGGGTCCCATACTTTGTTCACATCAAGAGTGCTTTTTGCTGGCAAGAGCACTGAATAAATCCATCTGCCAAGCCTTCACTACAGCAGTAACATGGATCACATTTAAAGGGTCCCTTTGGAGGTCACAAAGTCTTTTCAAACTAGAAGCAGGTGAACAGCACTTCAGGAACTCTCACTATAAGGAAAAAGTAGCCCTGGAGACCCAACTGCTTTAACAGACTCAACAGCTACAGCTTCAAAAATGAGGCTGAATTTCACTTTTCCATAAACCCAAGAGCACGTTTCCTTTTCCTTTGTAAAGCCATAAGCAGGAGCAAACCATGTGAGAAGGAGGTAAGGCAGTAAAATGAGGCCTTCATCCCCACTCAAATTTGTGGGCACTTCTGCAGTATATTTCACTGTTAGAGCATAACAGACATTTCTCATGGTATTTTGGCTGCTGCAGCCCCATCTGGAGTAGAAACATGCACCAAAGGCCAAAAAAACAAAGAATAATTAAAATAAATTAGTATTTATTATAAATTATAATTTATTTTTTAAAAGCTGAAAAACTAGATTTGACTATAGAACACGTGTTTATTTTCATTTAAAACTGCGACAACTGTACCAATAAACTTATTACAGCCTCTTCAGACAGACAGGTTCAGGGCAACACCAAGTGTTAAATAATGACCACAGATCTTCAGAACCACAGGCTGCTAAACACACATCCAGCAAGTCAAGTTTGTGTTTAAGAGTAAAGGCATAGTAACACAACTACACCTTAAATAGGGGGGGGAATAACCTAGATTTCCAAGAACATCAACAAAAATACTTTTGTTTTGGTTTTGATGGGTACACTTTTGGCCAGGCCAGTATGTACTTTAACACTGAGTGTGTCACAGTAAATGATGCTGCAAAACACACAGCACAGAGGGATTTTGCTCCCACTCATGAGCCCCAGGTTCCCCAAGGTATCTGGTCTGCTGTGATTTTGTAGCTAGCAGAACATCAGAACAAACAGATGGTGCAGGAACCAGCTTGGTCCTTTGGAGGAAAGGACTTGGTACTGTATTCCAAGAATCAATTCAAGTGAAAGCAAGAGGGGTATCAAAAGCCTCATTCAGTGATGAACTGATAAATTTTTTCCACATGTTCATTTTACAGGACAAGAAAAGGGAAGAAAAATAGAAACAAATAGAATAAGATTTCACAACTGGAATAATTTTCTCAGACAAATATGTTTCCAGACACCCCATTAACAAAGCAGCTAAGCAAGATCAGCCAAGCAGTTGTCATCAGGGCAAGCAGACCAACTCCCTGCATGCACTGAATTGGCTGAGAAGATAGGGCATGGGAGGGAAATAGGCATCACATAGAGCTGGAAAGGGAAAAAGTATTAATGACTTCATAACCCAAAAAAACACGACGAAAGAAACACCTAAAATACATGCTTGGGGAAATGTCACCAGGACTTATAACCCCCATGTTTCCT